TACAATTAAATACTTCATCATTAGCAGAGTATTATAGAAATTGACGTCAATCGCAGAAAAATGGAATATAACAAATGTGATAATTCTGCGGTAAAATAAATAATGCACGAGTTATCAGTATTAATGTGCAAAAAGTTTAATTTATTAATTAAACTATATATTACCTCCCTCATGAAATAATTTAATCAAGATGCAGAAACAAAATCATCAAATTTTCCGGCAATTTGAAACGGATAAATTCTGCGGGATGCAGAAACGATAGCGGTATCTTGAACGAAGCGGTATAAGGCTTTAGTGCGAAATTAAAGACATTAAAATGAAACAGTCTTCATTACGAGAATGCGGTAAGCTTGATTTCGGCCGCAAACAGATTAGAAGCGGTCTCCTTTCCACGAGGGCGCCTCTGGGAAGTAATTGTCTACGCTGGGCGAGCGGAAATGGGACACGCCGCGTAAGCTCGTTCCGCTTTTTCGCCTTCGTAAGACGATCCACCTGTCGAGTGAGCTACCTTCGACCTCTTGACCTCGGCTAATAAAAGCTCTATCAAGTTAACGTCTCAGTCGTTTTAATGTTAATTTTATGTCAATTATCTGTATAATATTAAGTCATATTTCATTTAGATTAAAAATTATCGTCACGATATTATTTTTCCAGATTATTCCAGATAATTAATTCTCGTTTTTGCTACTTTATAAGAACTGTTTACTTAATCGTTAAGAAAAACAATTGCAACGATTTAAAATGGTTATACAAGGCATCTTGGAGAAAACCGCGAAGAGTAGATGCAACGGCTTCTCATTTACGTGGAAAATTATGGTTTTAAGAGATTGTTGGTCGCAAAGTTGTTACGTCTGCAATTGTTTTAAAGCACACGGCAGCGAATGCAGTCGCGCACATACATCGCGTTTAAAACGACGCAATCTTAAGCGATTTGAAGCGAACTGGCTATAAAAGCGCAAGTATATAACATAAACTTTTGCGTTGTCTTGTACTGAAATACGTTCGATCGACCCACTAACCTTCTCAGGTTCTCTCCTGAGGACTTTCTTTGCGCTTACACAGTGGAAAGAGATTTCAGGATAAGGTGCGAGCCTTTTTATTATCGAGGCAAAACGAGGTCGACCGTTTTACGATATAAGTGACATCGACGATGTTAATCGCATGAATTTCAGAAAATATCTAAATGTCCGTTGATATTCGCGTCGCAATATCACGTGAATTTCGCGCTGGGATTTACCGAAATTAAAAAGTTACGCGCGGAATTTAATATACACATACGTATAATTATGAAATTTTCTCCTAAAATCGCGTAAAATTTCCGACAACATTGCCTGATATTTTTATTCAGATATTACTTTTTACGATCGTATATATATATATATATATATATATATATATATATATTATGTATGAGTACTTTGAAGGTTTTAAAAAATAATTGTCATAAAATTTTATTTTCAATTTTATTTAATAATGTATACGTGGAAACCATCATAACGTAGTTATTAAAAATGTATTTTGACATGGTCAGCAATATTTACTCCCTAAAAACATGAAAATTATTTTTCACGATAAATTATAAATAATGAAAGCCAACAGTATAACTTTTAACCCGCTCAATATACACTTATACAATCTAAGGCACATTTCAATTTATTAATCCAAAATTATTAAATTAATAATAGGATAATCAAGTTTCATATATAGAATTTCTAACCACGGACATATAATATTATCTATAGCACATATCACATATTAGTTATCTATGCAAAATAGACATGTTATTAGGAACATTGTTAAGATCTCGTAAGTTTTATAATTATAGGATTGTTCTCAGTTTTATGACGAATTATGAATTCAGGAGGATTCCACTTACCTTCTAGCATAGACATCAATTTTATGTGTCGGTGGGGCGATATCGTAGGACCCCGTTGGCGGTCCTTATATATAGGTGTATTAATTATTCCTATCGCGTAGACCCCGGTCTGGCTTGTATTCCAGCACGTTGCAGTTGCAGTTGTAATGCATCCGCGGTCGGTCGTTTCGAGACAGCCGATATAGCTCCACTCTGTCGCTGTGGCCCGCTTCAAGGGGCACGTTCCATTTGCGTGCAGTTTACAACTTTATGAGCCGTTTACAGCTACAATGGACCTTCTGCATCTTTTACAGTTAAGCTATTTAATTGACACTAATTGTGAGTTATACAATGACATGTAAGAATTTTGCTTGAACAGATTGTTGTACAAGTTTCATCTTCTCCCCTGGTCGATCGCTTCAAATTCATCTTGCTTCGCTCGCTTTTATGCTCTTACTACAAAACTGTTTTTACTCAGAATAAGAGATAAAAAGTCTATGCACTGTCTATCACAATGGAATAGAGTATCAAAATATTCCGCTCGTTTGTTGTATTCGCGAAATTCCTAAACGCTCTTCCAACCGTATCGTTCTCCAGTTTCAACCACCACCTGGACATCAGATACTGCGCTTTATACGATTAACGCGAAATAACAGATTCCTGGTTAGAAATTCTAATCGCGGCACCGCCAGTAACACAAATCAAAGCAAAGGGCAATGTTCGCTGATGTCTAGCTCGGACCATGGTCCGTTTCTGTGTATAGAGCATATTAGCGTTTGTGTCATATCTACTCTCCGTTAGTGCGGTGTTTAGACCGCACTTGGTTTTCGGTGCAGAGAGGGATGAAGGGAGGGAGAGAGTAGCCTGGTATCACGCGAATATTCATATTTCAACGCGGATTCACTGCTCTCGGGGATGACGACAGTCAGCGTGTTTGGACGATCCAACATGTCATGTATCACTCTCTATATGATTCCATAATTTGCGCGGTGATATAGATTACTTCGTTCTAACGCGAATAACAATTAGGCAACGTACTAGAGCAGGACACTGATTGCGAAGTATCAGTAAAGTGAAATTATCATTTAGCATATTATAGTTATAATAATTTTATTAATATTATTTCTCTCAGTCTCTCCATAAAAAATATTTACTAATCAATCATCTTTGATTATTATTTCGAACAAATTAAGGGACACTTATTCCTTTAATAATATTATAAATAATATAATTAATAAATAATATAATAATTATAATAAATAAATACATTCACTCATAGCATAAGATATATACTTATATATCAAGATGTATATATCTCTTAAGAAGAGATTCTTATTAAAAGACAAAGATTCTTAATAAAAACAACTTTATACATAACAAAAATTGCGTAAAATTAAAAGACAAGTGAAGCAAAAAGTGTTAAAATAAAAAATTAAAGCTAAGAATAATAGAGTTGATAAATAGTAGTCTTAAAATATTACAGCGTGTGAAAGAGCACATGAAATTGAATATAAATGATCGTTGCTTGAACTATCAAGCTCAATCTGTTCTCCGTATTTTGCAGGATACGATGGTGAATATGAAAACAGATATATCAACCTGTCCTGTCCAGATCAGTTCTTTTTAAAGAAGAAAGCTGTAATCACATATTAATCTCTTTTTCTAACGCTGATAAAATGAAAGAATTACATTTGAATTTAAAACAACTATTAATGATAAATATTATTTCTATAAATATATTAATTAATTAAATAAATATAGTTTTAATTTATTTTTAACTTAATGTATTATTTAACAACAATGTTATTCATGTTATAATTATATGTAATAACATATATATATATATATATATATATATATATATATATGTGTTGGATATTATCAATGAGAATTAGAATGCTTAGGAAGAAACCTATAATTATAGATAAAGCTCTCTACGATGCGAAATAATAGGGGATACGAGAATCGCAAACTCCAATCCAAATGTCCAGAATGCAAAATAGAACACACGATACAAGCTACTGAAATACATATAACGCCGCAGGCGCAAGCAGCGTAGATGCAATGTTATTATCTTAACATGTCTATCAGCATACACGATAATGTACATGTACATTGAATTTAAAGTTTTCTTGTTCCTCAAACAACCCTATTGATTCTCTGCAAGTGTGATCTTTCTCGAATGCACATGGATATTGGCATTTCATTGTTAATCCTTTATGACGATAAATTACATTTTTACGACGTGATCCGTGATAGATGCGAATTCATATATCGGAGAAAGAGAGAAAGAGGGGAAGAGACAGAAAAGGGAAGAAAGTCTATTTCAATCCAGATTTAGCTTGCTTGCATTTAAATTTAGAGAAAGTGCAAGGCGGACCATTATTTACTAATCGCATCCGGAAAATGACACGTCCTCGATCCTAGATTCGTTCTTAGTGCTATAAATATGTTTCAATAATCGTTGGACAGTTTCCGTCTCTGATAGAGTTTAACGCAATCATTGTATGTATTCTTCATGCTATGAAACAATCGTAATAGCCGATGAATATTTTATAAAATTTAGGATAACCGAGAGACATTTTGACATTTTTTAAACCGTTAACATCATGAAATTTATTATGATATTTTAAAATTAAAAGTGAATGCACATATAAATATATAAACTCTGAAAAAGAAAATCTCAAAACAAAAGCAATATATTTGAAAATGTTGTACATATAGCGCGCATAACAGTAGAATTTCAAGCGTATTTTTTTTCAATACTGTCTTTTTGAAAATTGTATAGTATCAAAAAATTTGTGATACTGAATAATAAAAAATATGCAATCCAAAAAAAACAGGTTTTATATGGACACTATAAAATACGCGCTTGTTTTCCTGCTTTTTGACCAGAACAGAAATATCTGGATGTGACTAAAGTTAACTATTTCACCGTTTATTTCTATTGTGTGTACATGCTGACATAAAAGCCTCTCGTTTCATGAAAAATATATGTAACGATGGTACAAGTTGTTGAATTTAAATTACAACTTTTCTCTCAGTAACATGTTGTCATATTTCTTTATTGTAATCATTTCTCTGGCGATAATATTTACCAGTATTTACACCGAATTAATAATTGTGTTCTCTTTGTGTGTTGCAGCTTTTGGTGGGCAATAACAACGTATATACGGAACAGGAACAGATTTTCGACCCACCTATAGTCGCAACAAAAATCCGCTTTATCCCTTATACCTCTCATGTGCGTATGATGTGTATGCGCGTGGAGCTTTATGGTTGTCCATGGACAGGTGAGTGAAATACATGAGTGTATATTTTTCTTTACACCTTTTACGTATTTATCTGTAAAGCATCTTTTTCGAAGCGGTAAAAGAAAACAGTCAGATCGACATTTTAATATATAATGTATATGAATAAAATACATCAGCTAAATAAATAAATTTAAAAAATTTTATTATTAATGTTATTATTAGTGTTTTACAAAATGATATAATGCGTAAAAAGAGATGTTTGAAGAAGGTAAGAATATAATTAGATATTTTTTTATTAAATTAAAAAGGCATATTATTCCGTTGCATCAAGAGTTATCGTGACTAATAAATTTTACACTACGCACGAATGGGGCTAATTATGTACGATTTCATCAGCAGCCACTGCCATTGTCATTGTCACGAAAACAAAGCTGGAAACAAGCGGTACAAGTCTCTGTGGAATTGCTTGCGTGTTATCATACATTTTACATTTTAACTACATAGTCTTTCTCAGAATTTCTTGATGAAAGACCGCAGCCAGTGTGCAAACTCGACGGCTTAATAACTTAAATTTATATCTTAATTTTTTTTGATTGTGTTAAATTAAAAGCATGACATAACATTTATTTCAGACTAATGTTCGACACAACTTTATATTGTGAATCTTTCTTCACGAAATCTCAGATTTAGCCAATCTCAGATTTAGCCAATGGATAATAAGATTAAAATAATAAGATAATGAGATTTAAAGCGGATAATAAGAAACATTTAATATTAAACATTATTGAAAAATAAAGATTTAAATACAAAGGTGTAACAAGACGCATACATTGAATCACGTTAACAATTGATTAATATTTCGTCGATTAAAGAGAGATTTTAGATTTGAGCTTTGTGAATCGTCGACGTTCGTCGACTGTGTGACGAGACGCCGATGTAACGCGTCAGTCTCTCGAATCTGCGATTAACTTAGATTTACGATCACCGTCGGCCGTGAGCCACAGCTGCGTCTACATTAATCCAACGTCGACGAACTACGCGGCATCCGCTAACTGTGCCATCTGCATAGCCCTGATCGGCGTTATATCGTTTAAACGCGCAATTACAGGGACTGCCAATAATATTGATTTGCAAAATAAATTATGACTTACGAATGGCATTAGCAAACGTTGGGGTCATTAACGAGCAAGGACGCGTAAGCGTGCACGTGGCAAAGGGAAGAGGCATAGGGGAGCGAAAAGATATGGAGGAGAATTACGCGTTCTACGATTATTGTAATGAAATATTTGTCGCATTCCAGATGGCAAGATTTTATCGTTATTGTCGTCGTTAAATATTACATTATTTGTAGGTTGATTGATGTGAAATGACGACTGAATCGACTCTGTCGCGCGGTATAATCAAAAACTTTTTTTTTCATTCAATCATTTCAAGTAAATATTGCAGAACGTGAGAGAGTCATGTTTCTCCGCGCGTATTTCACAGTGAAATCTGCGAAAACAATTTATCGCCATCAAACGGAGAAATAGTTGATTTGATATGAACGAAATGGCGGGACATTTTCCTTTCCAAGTACCGAACCATGTAACTTATTCGGCTTATTGACGCCTGACAGTCTAGAAGCACATTTGTTTCTGACGTTCGTTTCGTCGAAGTCGCATTCGCGCGATTTTTAACGAAAGTGTCGCGCAGCGAGAGAGAGAGAGAGAGAGAGACAGAGAATCGACGTCGGGAATCCTGACGAATTTCGCATCAAAGCACGCTCGAGACTTTGCGTTGCAACGTCTTAGATCGATTCATAGCATCGAGATTAAAAATATTGACTCTCATTACCTTCTCCCGACGACGTGCGCTTTAGCCTGTGTCCACAATCACGTATTGTCGGGAGGAAAACGCTTATGGCGACCACGTAGCAACTCGATGATGCATAGTTCACAGGAGCTTATGTATTCTTTATATTCAGCTTCTTCTTGTTCTCCTCCGCAGAGGGTCTCGTCTCCTATTCCATGCCCCAAGGAATCAAGAGGGGCGCCGAGGTTGACCTCTCCGACAGGACGTACGACGGCCGCGAGGAAGGAGGTTACCTCTCCGGGGGACTTGGTCAACTCGTCGACGGGCAAAAGGGTCCCGACAACTTCAGATTGGACGTCAGCGGCAACGGAAAAGGTATAAGGAAGGCACGGGTGCTTCGTGCTGGAATGAGATTAGCGCCGGCGCTAGATCGTGTCTAGATTAGCGTGATAGAGCCGTCTTGGCGAGCTACCCGCCAACCGTCTAGTCTTCTTATTCCATCGGTATCTCACGCTATCTTACTCGTTAACTTCTTTCTTCGAACTAAGTAGTGATCCGAAAGCCTGCAACTCTTGTTACATTTTGTCTAACGCGAGCCTTCACGCCCCTTCACCAACGATTACGCTCTTGTTTTAAGGCACCCTTTGCACCCTTATCAATGTTGAGAGAGTAGTGTAATAAGCGCACGCAAAGTCTGTATTTTGTATAACATCGAAACGCTACGTCAGCGTTTTTGTATGTTTGCGATGTTATGTACGAAATGCATTCCCTCCCTTCGCGGCACATATAATTTGAAATATGTGAACGTGACGAAAATTCTGTTAAAATATCTCGGATAGCTTCCGCGTTAGAACAAACACATCCGCTTGGTTATTTAATGAATTTTCAATCTACGCGTTTCATTCGCTTGATTTCGTGCATCAAAAGCATATGTTTCTTTGTCGATACGTTCTCTTGGACAAACGGTTACCTTCCGAATTGTGTTTCCCCCGATACATTTAATCAAATCGGAAGGCTTTTCTATTTAATAAAACAATGATTAATGCGCCCGACATCAACCGGAAGTCACGCATTGTTCGATGCCAATATACTGTCCCTCGGTCACCGATCTTATTCACGAAGGCAAATGACCGTTGAAATTTAATTGAAAGGGACATGCTCATGTACGGAAATGGTTTTTCGATCGATTGATCAGGTAGAATATTCGCCGTTACCGACGCGAGATGCGTTCGTTCCCGAGGCATGTATGCCAGAATGAAAATGAAATTTTCCGTCGGTCGACTTCAGGTGTATATGTGTGTAGATGAGAAAGTCAGAGGAGGGTCAGTAGAATCCAGAAAAGCCGTGGGAGGACCAACGGAAGAGCCTGGGCTCCGAAGCCAAACGTGTTCCACAGCGCCCCTCGAATCTGTTCCAATTTACATTTATATTGAACCGCGAGCTAGGCTGCAACCAGTCGCCGCTGTTTACTCGATTTCTGGATACATTTGTGTCTTTCCATTTACTCCATGGGACACTCCCGCATATACTCGGCATACACTTCCGAGTCGCGTATACTTCCACCTTCTTAAACTTTTAAACCCGACAAAACTGCGTACAACCTCTCCCGACTCTCCTTAAACCGGAGAACACCATCGTTCGGCATTCCTGCAATTCCGAAGACTTTCTCGCTTAGCATCGATATTTGCGCAGTGCCTCTATTCGAGAGACATGCTTTCAACAATACTTCAAAAATGCTTCGCAAGAAATTGCACAAGTTGCGAGGTAAAAAAAGAATGACAGATGTGTGCGAAGTTATTTAAAATATATAATCCATGATATTTTTTGGAATACATTTGCACAAATTTGCATTATTATCCGCGCGATAAACAATATTTATTTTCATTTCACCAATTCTTTGCCATCGCAATGAAAGCTTTTTAACGCTGTAAAAACTTTGCAAAATCCTATCATGTAATAACAACGCAGCATAGCTTTCTTACAATAAACTTTGCTTAATAAAATATCGATAAACGTTCATAGCGGTTGACAGCTTGACATGGTCATCCTGATTCTGGTTTACGAGCATTGTACGCTTGAAACTATATAGCTTGAAAATGCTTTAAAGGGGAAAATCATCAAGCGACCGAGATGTAGGTACGGGTATACCCACCTAGGGTGGTTATCTTACGATCCTCGTGAAGGTTCAGAATTGATGGTAGATAGCGACCGAAGGCGGCGACGACAGGAAACTGGAAACTATTTACTCGGGGGACGATATTAAGGGAGGAAGGGGGGTTATATGAAAGCGGATAGGTCAGGGCGATATAACGCGCCATCGCGCGGACCCGGTATATTGTTGAAAACGGAAAGGACGATCCCCGCAGTGGTAGTTGTCGCACAGGAAGTCGCGTGCGGGTACACAACGCAAACTGCGTGATTGAAATTCTCATAAGTTTTAATATACTCTGAGATTTTTACAGACGTTACACAGAGATATGTCGACAATTTCGATACACGACAAATCTGTGATTTTTTTCAGACATTATCGAAATATAAAAGCGATCGAACTCGAAATTGGGAGACTTCCGTTTTTCTTTCTTTCTTTTTTTAGTCGTGCTCCGATTTTTTCAAGGATTTTACCGAGAAGTAGAGATAAAAAATATAAAAGATTTATAAAGAATTCGGATCTTTCTAAGGCACTGAAGCGTAAGATTTGTGTTAATATTTTGCGATATATAAAAAGATATCGAAGGAAGAGAGAAATATAAGTAAGATGAAAAGATATGCGGGATTTATAGTTACAAGGATGTATCGATATTTTTAACTTGCTCACGAAACATTGAAATTCATTAAAGGCCAGAGATTTTTAAGGAATTTTAATCAGACTCGAGAATTAATAAATCTTGCAGCATTTTTAAGAAGCCAAATATTACAAATTTAAGGGTCGAAAAATTCAATGATACACGTTTATTTTTCAATAACGTTTCAAATATGATTATCTTTTATTCTTCATTCTCTTGTTATTTATCAATTCTCCGGGAAATATGTGCGGCGCAGTAAATGATGAGCAGTGGTAATCCGTGTTTGTGTAGACGTTGAAATGGGAAGGCAAGGCAGGAACGACACAGTTAGAGATCCCGAAGCCAATGTTGAAGGTAACAGGAACGTTTCTGAGAAGCGCATAACACGCCACGCCGGCCAAGCTTTAAGGTTATTGCAGTCCATTTTCAATCCGCATATTCCCGCGGGACACGTGTGTTTCCACATGTACTCATATAGCGGGATCTAATGGTGAGACTCGCGCAATAAGCTGCCGCTATAGCTCGAAACTCTTCCGTATCGCGCACCGTGCTTCTCACGTTGCTATATACCACGTGGAACATTTCCGGGAGAAATGAAGCGAGAGAGGAACAGAAAGCAGGAAAACAAACTCGAAACGTAATTAACGTTTCGAGGAAGTATACGAGTCCCATGCGAAAGCTCAACTTGCGTGAATCTGAAACGGGTAATTTAAATTCTATTACGTGTGCGAACACTTTTGCGCCAATTCTGATACAGTTATATAACAGAGAGTATTTTTAAATTTTGAGAAAAAAAAAACACACCGATGAGACACACGCGCTTGCAAATTATTTAAGAAGAGTTATCAAGTTATCCTTATTATATAAGAAAAAAAAAAGTTATCTTCGTTTTAAAAGGACTCCGGTTCCTCGAAGACTTAAGTTATACGAAACTTCTTTTAATATTACCTCATTGAAAATTGGATTTTGTTAGATCTTAGTGGAAAAATAAAATCTCTTTTCCTTCCGCTTTTATATAATCTATTTATCTTCAATTGAAATTTAAATACATTATCAGGTCGTAGTTGCGAAAATATTGTTGCGCTCTTCGTTCTATTACATATTCTCATAGAATGTCAAATATTTACACGTACATTTACGATAGAACGTTAGATATATGTGTATTTCATGCATTTGTTTTCCGTTTACGCTCTATATCCAAATAAATTCTACGTCACGCACGACATTTCTCGCTATTCGCGTTACAGATTTTATTGTTTTGTTTATAAGAATGCATGTGCATACTCATATAAATGGTCTATCACAATCATACAATCGACAACGTAAATCCTCTTTTTAATTCAAACGCGCGGATCAGAATCTTTTTATATGACCCATAAACTATAGATAACAATTTTTATGTGGAATATGTTTTACATGTGTTCATTAAATTGCACATTTAATCAATTATCGCTCAAGAATAACGAAAATCTGACGTGCCGAAATAGCTTAAGCTAAAGCGATTGTGAAAATTTGCTAGTGTACTTTCTTATATCCTTCAATTTAGAATTAATTTTTTATTTATGAAGTACCATCTCGATGAACTTTTTGTTAAATAAAAGTCGACTTCAAATTATTCGAAGACATCGCGTGCTCTTTCGCCATTAATTCAGAAATGTTAGGAAATTTTATTCGCTCAAGATTAACGGGGCGAATGCATTTCGTACAGCACTAGCCGACGGCGACACCCCATACCTTCTCAGCAGGACTCTTTAAAATGAACGATATTGTAACCGGATAATCCGTTTGTTCAAGGATATGAATGGGTCGGCTGGCGAAACGACACGGCCAATATGCTTGGACGTCCGGTGGAAATAACTTTCGAGTTCGACTACTCGAGGAACTTCACTGCCATACACCTACACATGAACAATTACTTCACCAAGGACGTGCAGGTATCGCCATTTGCGCCGTTACTGGTATTATTTCGAAAGTTACGAGCTCCGGGAACTACCGTAAATTTCACGATCACACATTTGGCGACGCCTCCGCGCTTTTAAGCGGTTTTAAAAACATTTCCCCGCGATTTACAGCACGGTGATTCTTGCAGCTCCACCGCCTGCTTTCGGGCTTAATACTTTCAGTAGTACGGCGAAGTTTCAACGCCGGAGCTTCCGCCGAATTATTTCCATTCGCGCGGTTTATCTCTTTAAAATGTAGAACACAGTATTGCATATATAAGAATAATTTATATACCTAACACTCGCGCTCTTAGCATTCACGTTTGTCTCGATATTCGATCACACGCGACTGTTTCCATCCCGTTCGAGTGTCATCCAAATAGCTTCGTTACTAAATAAGGTACACGATTTCTTTCTGTTATTTCCACAGGTTTTCTCGTACGCCAAGGTTTATCTCGGCACAGGTGGCAACCAATTTACTGGCGAACCGGTTCATTTTTCTTACATACCCGATCAGGTGCTCGAACAGGCGCGCGAAGTCACCATTAAGCTTCACTCGCGCGCTGGTCGCTTCCTAAAGCTGCAGCTCTACTTTGCGGCGCGGTGGATCATGCTCAGCGAAGTAATCTTCGAATCAGGTAAGAGAAAGATCGATCTACACCGCTCCGCGCGTTATTTTTCTCGCATGAATCGAGATTTATCTCCCGATGTTGCTCTCGATAACCCTCGCGTCGCATCGGGATGGTCGAGAGTAATGGCGAAGTTAAGAGCCTTCGTTTGTGGCACATTCGCTTTTCCCTTCATCGATTGTCTCGCGTTCGTAGACGTAGACTTTTAGTTAGACGGGAAATCAGCAAGAAATCCAAAAATTGAAATCTAGAAATAGAACGATCTCAAAGTATATATTTTATCTCGGGCGCGCGCATTTCCCGATTTCCTATTTTAAGCGACATATTTTCAACGAAGCGCAACGATACTATAAAATAGTGGAAATTGTTTCCAGAAGAGAAAATTTACTTCGACGACAATATAACTAACGCGCAGATATATATATATATATATATATATATATATATATATATGTATACATGTAAGAATAAAATTATTTTATAAATTTAATGACACACACATTGTGATATTGAATTTTTATAGGAATATGAGAAGTTGATATAAGAAAATAAATCGCTTAAAAAAAGAAGAAACCTGGAGAATATCATAAAATTGATGACATCTATTCGATATACGAATATATTGTTATATACAGTTTTATTATTATACTTAAAATTGGAACATAACAATCTTATTCTCTTTCATCTCATTTTTTTATCATTACTTCACAGTTTCTAATGAAAAAGCAATATTTACAATTTAATGTCGGAATTAATCAATATAACATGACGTAGCCCTTAAAAAGGGTACATCAAAAATATAATTTGATTATTTTGTATCGATGAAAATCTATCATAGAATAAAGACTTTATTACGATGGTCAAATTCACACGTATCTTTCTTTTATACTACAATTTTTATAATAAAAAATTGTAATTAAATTTTAATTTTCAACGTAAATTTAAAAAACGCATCCTTTTTATATAAAATGCAATGTAGCTTAGTAATTGCGTTTCGTAGGATTGATGATAATCTCTCGAGCTTAATAGAGAACAAGATAGCTGAGTCAAGGTGGTTTGACAATGGCAGCAACAAAACGTAACTGTTACGGCAACTTACGCCAATGACTAGTTTATCCGACATCGGTGTAACTGCATATCGATCATCGATATTTCTTTTAATCCGCCTCAAACGATCCGAGACGGAACTCGGCTGCCTGGTAATGTAAGCTTTCGAAAGTTTCACGTCGCTTCGTTGCACCGGTTCAGTCGCGGGAGTAGTGGATACGTCGTTAATCATTCGACGTACACTTTGTGCGTTCCCCGTCCTCGTGCGATAAGTTGGTTTGACCAGAGGCAACCAATGTTCCTCGTCTCTTGTATGCTACATAACTCGTATTCACGTCGTACAAACGCTTCATTGGGCCGCACGTCGTCGATAGAAAAAAAATATCATCCCTCTTCCGGCAATGGCATCGAGTTTTCCAGCCAGCGAGCAGGTCCGCGCGCGACATTTTCCGGCAAAAGCCTCTCTCTCTCGAGAGAGGCAATTTCGCCCCACCACGTTTAATTTTCCTTTTTATGAGTCGCGCGTACAAAATCCGCGTCTAACTGCTCGAAAATTGAAATATTTCCTGGTGTGTCCATTAGAGTCGATAAACTGCCGCGGCACTAATTTTCAGGTTGCCTAACGGGAAATTCCAGCTGCGTGTGACACGAATTAAATTCTGTTCGGCGATATTTGTTCGTTTTCGAACGATCGATATAACAGTAGAAAACTACTCCGAATACAAATGAAATTCTCCGTGTCCACGTCGTGTGGCCACAAAGGCCACATTTGTACAATCGGATGAAGTCGTCAAAGGATACGACATCGATGCAAAATTTAATTCGCTTTCGAGTGTCGCGCGTTTCATCTGATTCCTAATCTGGCGATATCAAAATTCACTTTTATTTCGCCGATTGACTATTCAACGATTGACTTTATAACGTATACAGTTTACAATTGAGTTAGTCAGTCGGCTCGATTATTCCAACAATAATGCTATTCCTGTGACGCGTGTATACATATGTAGAAGGGGATTTTTTTTGCCTCAAGTATTTATTATTGCTTGACAAGCGTGGATTTCATTAGCTATAATCCTGAATGCACAGTTATCTCCGAATGGAACAATACCGAGGACGAGGAGGCGAAGAACAAGAGTGCTATTGTACTGGCGACCGGCAGCCCCTATCAGAATAACGAGGGTCCACTACAGAGGGACGAAGTGAAGGCTACTTTTAATAAGGAGGAGAGTAAAGATAACACCTGTAAGTCTACTGTTCGATCTTTCTATTGTTATTCCAGTAAGCTACGTTCATAATTTTCCGCGTAATTGACGTGCTTTTCTCCGAGCTTTTTCTCTTGTCATTTTTCATAGCAATGAGCTCGATATATCATAGAAGAGAATTGTGCGTCGGCAAAAAGTAACTATTATGCGATGACTACTAATGATCTATTAACATAAAAAGAAATATCTTTTTCATTAATTTAAGTATCTTTTTACAGTGCACGACTGTTTCTTGTAATTGTGCATAAAATGGTAATAATATTGCTTATAGAAATAGTTTGGCAATTGAATTAAGAAACTCAAGATTAAGCTGATGGAGATTTAGGCGATAGGAAAGAAAAATGCACAAATAAATTTGTATTTAAAATCTTTTTTTTTTAATTCCAAAATCGTTATAATCAAACAATTCTAATCGAGACGTTAAATAATCTCGAATGCATTACACGCGATAGACAATTTGCATTTCTTCTTAGATTCGTGTCGAGGCATCAAAATTACGCGAAGTCAAAGAGGCAATAGCTTGCATCTCTAGAGAAATCTTCTTTCTGATACGCGACGTCGTTACACCAGAATTAATGGAAAAATGGCGACGGTGAGACCAGAAAGCTCCCTGAAATCGAAAGAACTGTGCGAAAAAGTACATCGAGCAGTCCCGTGGACGTTCTCGATTACCTGAAAAAGAAGCGTCATGGAAGAAAAAGAACGATCGCTCTCTTGTCCCTTAGCCTCGTCGAGTTTGTAACCAATAGAATGATACTTTTTTTATCTCCACAATGGCAAATAAAAGCCGCGCAATTAACCTGATTAATTCTTTAACTCTCTCCTTGTTTGATTGAAACGTTAAGACGTAACATTGGGATTTCATTGAAAGCAATAGGATCCATTAACGAAACTTTTAATGCTAATTGATTACGCTCAATATTCACTGGATGGTGAACTAATTTGCATTTCTTTCCGTTGATATTTTGCGAGTTATATAGCGCGAAATTTTTCAGTTACACAGTGACAATGTTGGAATTGTTGAAATTTCTTCATAACTGTTGCCAGTTTAAAGCTCACGCGTCTGTTTAATGTGTGTCTGCATTCATATGTACACTATTACTCGAACTACTTGTTCGCGTGTTCGCCGAAGGAAAAGCGCAAGAAAGCGGGGCGAGGCATTTATGTTTTCTCGCTTGAGAAGCACGACGTACCTAACGCTCTTGTTACATATTATACCGCGCGGAAAAGTACAAATGTACGCCAACGCGAGCAATAATCTGGGGAGTCGGTGGAGCAAGCGTTGAACCCGGAAAATTAGAAATAACGTTAACGCTTTTTTTCCTCGTCAACCGGTCTCCTACAGCATTATGCTAAAACTAGCTTGCGAAAGAAATAGAACTGAGACATTAAAAATCCGGAAGACGCGAAACGAAATGAAATTTTTTTATCATACATATATATTCAGGCAGCAAGCTAACTGACATTTTTATCTGGAGAGACAAACATTTTAGAATGCTATCAATTTAAAAAAATTCATCTTTGATTTCTCGGCGTATTAATTTTTTTTTTTTATAAAAAAATAAGAGAAAAATATTTCTTTTTATATTAATAATTATTCCATTTATCTCGATTTGAAGATTTTATATCATTTATTACGAGAAAAATACTTGGCAGTATTAGGAAACAGTATTCAAAATATTAAATAATTATATTATAAATTTATCATCAGGAAAAATAATCTTAATGAGTTATTAGACTGCTATCTCTTTATTGTCTCTTGATTGATTTATAAAATACTCAAGCGATGATCAGGTTGCTACGGTAGACTATGAGAGCCATCAGCGTATATTGTTTTTGTTTAACCGGGCAACTGATCAAACGTGATCTAGTTACGAGCTTCGTGATGAACGCAATCATCATTATCGTTCCATCGTGCATTATGCAAGGTTACCTCGACAGTATTATCTACGGTGATAGGTCATGTTGCTTGATGCATCAAGCATCACGGACGAGTGAATCCGCTATCGCAAACACGCGCGGATCAGCTGTCCGTCATGACATCGAAATATTATTAATGGAAAATTCTTTTCAGCATAACTCTTTCCCTCTTTTTCTGTCTCTTCTCTCTGTCTCTCGTTGCAATTTTCAAGTTTATCAACTATAATAAGAAAGGAAAGTTGATTTTTTCAATTAATGAAAAATTTTGATATCTGGTAACTACCTGCTTGATCAATTAATGGAAAATTTGTTGATTGAATTAAAATTTAAAAATTAATTTTTATAAAAGAGATGTGATGTTGCAGAGTTGAGATGTGCAAAATTGGTATATCAGTTTATGCAAGCAAAATTGTATTTTACAGAGATTAGGATAGAGCAAAAAAAGAGGAAAATATGTTTTAGGAAATTTTAGAGAAGAAAGGATACTAGCTTAATATGATCAGTAAATTACAAATAATTGTTAAAAAAATGGAAAGAAATCTTGAATAATTATTTTATCAATCTTGTTGAAAAATTTACGTTAAGTTCTTAGTAGTAATTAGCCGAGAGATGTCACGATTAATTAATGTTATCTCTAGAGTTCGCAGTATAAGCCAGTGACAATATGGAAGATTACTGAGCTTGCGGTGTAACTGTTAATCGTTAGGCTAATCGATTTCCTCCGTATCCCTGAACATGACGATTGCATCTGTTTACTATAGACACATGTCCAATTACATACGTATTGCCTATGTATATACAGACGCATACTCTCTTCGTGTACATATATCTACGCTTCAGTTTCAGATAAGAGCAAGAAACCGGAATCGAAGCAGTTTGTCGGATTGGTGATCGGTATCCTGACGACCGTAATCGTGATGCTGCTCGCAGCTATCATGTTCATCTTTTATCGAAACCGTAGACTTAAGGCTGCTCTCGTGCCGTCGACTTTTTACGATCAGCAGGGTGATCTCAAGGTAATTATAAAGTTAAAGCTATTACATAATTTGACATTGTCGTATCTTAAATTATTATAAGTCGTTAAACTATTTATATATAGAGAAAAATCTCTAGATTGATTCTAAGAAAATTATTTTTTATCGTGTCAATAAAATACGTTATCATCTAGAATATAAAAAAATTCATAAACTAGAATTATTTTATATAACAAGAAGTGACTTTATGACTTTATTTTCTTACTTATTTATCACATTAAATAAGATTTGATTCATATATTTTATAATAAATAAATATAAAAATGTATGTAACAAATAAAAAATATTTTTTAATTATTGTGTCACAAAGTTGTTTCTATTATTACTTAAGGGTATAAATTTCGGAATGCAAAATATATTATATAATACCCCGTACATAGTAATACAAAACGATCTCGATGATTTTTTAAATCATCGCATTAAATAGGAAGACAAAAGTTGAAAGTAGAACAAAAATCAAACATTGAATGTCACATCGTGCTAGAGTGTAATAATTTCGATATCTTCAATTTGCTAAATGACAAGCAATTCTGTTTTTTGATCGCGATTTTTCTTTACGCGATTCCCGACTTGGTTTAACGTCGGAAATTCCCGCCTCTAGCTCTAATAAACCGAACAGGCACATTTATTTATTTTACGCTTCCAGGTCACTTTACGACGCTTTTGAGCAATCGCGCAAAACAGCTTATATCTATCTTCCTATTACGTACATTGGTTTAGATACGAGCGCGCATAACTAAAAGAGAAAATGCGACGATCAAATATTTTCTTTAAGACGGAGGCGCAAACGAGATCGCACTAGGACGATTAAAGGGCTGCTCCGAGATTGTTCGTTTCACGCTCTTATCCTTGATTTTTTTCTTCTTTTTGCAATTCTCGGGCTTAACACAACCGTGGAATTTACATACTGGATTATACCGGAATTAATTATTTCGCATGGTACTAACAATAATTACGTCCTTATAAAGAAAACTAATACGGTAATAAACAATAAGACGGCTTGACTAATTTTTTTCCGCTGCAAAATAGGACGCGTGGAATGAATAAAAATAAAAAACATATCTTATGCGATGCACAGACGACGATATTTTTCTCTGACATTGCATTCCGCCGTAATGTTCTTCCGCTGAAAACGGTTTTCCGACGAAAGAGATGTTTCAGTCTCGCACCTCGTTCTAACGCGGAATGTCTAACTTTGTCGTAAATTCCACTCCGACTCGTGTCCTACAGAACAACAAGAATTATTAACGTCGCGTTTACCACCCTCGTCGGTGGACAGTTTGTACGACTTTCACGATATACGGTCTATAACATTAAAACCCATCTCTTTATCAATGTATACAATCCTAATTCATTTCCGTAAACAGATTTATATCGTGTATAAGGAAAAATTAATTAGTTAATTAATAACCAACTTTCTTAAACTCAAAATAACGTTCGCAAGAAAGAAATGCTAAAGAGAAAAAACGATGAACGAAGCGTACACGTGTACCTTTCATTATCTAATTAACTCGCTGTTATCTAAGTACAAAATCAGACCAACGGTTTGCGATGGTTGGTGCAAGATAACAGGATAAGAAGCGAAGATTTTATACGAAGTAATGTCTATAGATAAAAGTGCTGTCCGTGGAGGAGGCGGTGAGAAAGTAAGGATGAGGAATAAAACGTTAGGAGAGAATTGAGTGTGTTACGCAAAAAGTTAATACCTGGGCCAAGTCGAGCGAGGAAAGTGAGGCAGACGGAGAAAAGAAAGAAAGTCTTGAGAACTTCGCGTATGTTTACCAAGCCACTGTTGTTCTAACCGGATTAATAGCAAAGTGAAGTTTGTTCGTAGAAATGGACAGCCTCTCATCCTTTTTCGCGGGATATAACGCAAGACAGTAATTAACGACTTGCTGAACGATGAGAAATAATGAGTGCCAGACAGTTGAGCTTGCAAACCCTCGAAGCTTTCCTAACTTAACTGTTTGCACTGGGCGAAGACGACTGCGGAAACGTGCGGAGTGACAGTCGACGATTAATAACAACTCTAACAATCTATCGAAATAAATTGAAGACTCGCAGCGACATTAGCTATCATGCACTAATTAGTTACACGTTTCATTCGACTCATTATTAATGGTAAATAAAGTAAAGGAAAATTCGAAGGAATCGAGAAGTTGTCATCAAACAGATTGTCCTTCATTATTTCTAGGTTTCCATGTGAAATAATAATTTATTTTAATCAAATTGGTGACACATTGGGTACAATAAGAATATATTCGACGAGTGATGCTTGCGCACGGTAGAATTAATTAAGCAGGTGCGACAATTTCTGGCTACTAATAGATATAGAGAAGCGAAGAGCTGAGCACGCTTATAATATTTTTCACCGCCTGGCTCGAACAGACGCGCACGAAATCTCCTTTCTGCCTTACCATACATCACTCCGAGGTATTCTTCGACAACCCAATATCGTCCACGGCAAAGTTTTTACCAACCACCAAGAAAGTGCACGGATAGTCGAGCTGACTCCACTTAATTAAAAGAGCTACCGGGATGGCCGTATTGCGACATCGAGAAGAAGACGTGCGTTATCTTCGTCGTTCATCCGCCACTAAGCGTCATATACACTCCAAAATGCCTTCTTCTTCTTCCTCTCGTCCACTCTTGGCTCTCCTCTTCTCCCTATTTCGTTCCTGGCATTAGCCACCTGCTACTTGTCTCGTCTTGAAGCTGCGCGAGGCATCTCTTTTCCCCTCCTCGACGAAATGACCCTATTGCCCCTCGTGTAACTTGCGACCCACGTCGATTCTCCGGAATGGCAGAGTATGTCTGCCAAGTAGAAACCGCTGTCAATTTATCGAGCAACGTGAGTCACAAAAAAAGAACAACATTTTCGCTTGTCCTCACTTTCCTCGCGTACACCTGACTCAGGTCCGACAAAACGACTGACCACATGGTTCTTTAACTACATTGGAAACGTCGACATTTTTCTCCGAGAGTCGTTTGTTAATGGCTACTTCTGTGATTGCCATTAATTAAATAGTCGGCAATTTATTTAGTATCGCATTAATTAAATATTGTATTATCGTATCAGCACTTAATTAATTAATCTCTCTATGCTTGCAGAATATAACTTATTAATCATTGCAGTGCTATTGTTGGTATCGATCGCGAGCAATTTTGTGCTCGAAAAAAAATACCATTCTTTACACAATATGGCTTTATTTTTCATGGCTCAATTTTCGAATCCCTTTGTCAAAACTAATTTGATCTCTCTTCTTTTCCTTCATTCGAGACCTTTATAGTCGAGGAAAGGGATGCAAGACGCTGACGATTTATCGAGCATCATGGACCGTGAAAACTAAACTTTGTTTAGCGAATGACATTATATCGATCTGTCTGATTCTATTTAGAACGAGTATGACGAGGAAGAACCTCTCTTTTTGACTCGGTAGCTCCATCGGTCTGCTTTAAAACATTGAAGGGAAACTCCGTGGGATAGTATATCGCTTAAAGCTGCACGAAGTGTTGTGCTTTTTTTTTTCCTCTTATCCGAGGATTTACGATACAGCAAATTCTTGTTCCAGATTTCATTGCGTGAGATTATTCAATTTACGTAAGCGTCCATCCGCGCGTTATAGGTCAGGCTATTCTTCGGCGATTAGCGAATTAAATATGGCGAATAAAATTATAATGATAATGAAATTATAATGACATTCATGTGACGTATAACTTTCTCGTAATAATATTTTTGTTGTATATTTTTCTTTCTGTCTATCTATCTCTTTCTCTCTTAAAAGGAAAAATAAATATCTTTATTAAATGTTTATTAAAAATAACAAAACTCATGTATCTAATATGAATTTCTACAAATCCGTGAAAACAATAAGAGTAAAATATCGAATTATCTATGTGTATTAGTGCGTTGTAATATATGTTTATCAATGACACTACTTTAAGAGCATGTATGTGAATCGTATGCATTACGACAATTGTACAGGATAAACAGATACACGCGTAATTTTATCGGATAATTTATTATTATCGAATATATACGATGCATGCTGATTGTGACACAGCTTTGTTAACGCGCATTCATGCATAACTATATTCGCGTGTAGAGAGCACATGACGAAGGGGGATGGGGGAGAGGACTCTGCGCAAAAGTGAATGGTAATGCGATTATATCGGCTTTAGCCCGGGAGAGGCTAAAGGGGAAGTTGGGTGACGATACCAAGACAGTCGAGCGAAAACAGATTATTTTAATTTAAAGCAACAAACTCTCTGATTTTCGTGGCCTATAATCCTGACCGCGAGTTCAATATGCGTGTATATATGCATCGGGACGATTCGATAGTACGAGAACTGTTGGATCTGTTGGGGAAGTGGGACGAAAATCGTCAGGAGAAACAAAGAGCTTTTGCGTAAAAATTTCAGAGAATTATCATATATTTATTTGGAAATATAAAAGGCACCGCTACGAGTTAAAATACTGAAAAATTCTGGATATATTAATTATGTAAAATCTTTCTCCGAGGCGTACAACGTTTCGCAATAACGGAATATGCCAAAGTTAGAAAGAAGACGGGGCAGTGTTAATTAGAGCAGGTCAGTGTCGTGAAAAATTAATAAAAAAATATGAAACAAGTGAAACGCGCAGGAAACACTTCGGACGGAGTTGGGAAACGTACGAACAGCTGGACGGGTCGCGCAACCTTCCCGGGAAAGAGGCAAAGATGTACTCATGGTAATGAAAATGGCAAAAAGCACTCCGGTGCTAATTAATGGAGGATCGTTTTGTGCTCGGAATCTTCTCGCTGGCACTTTAGGGATTTCGATTCTCGTTTCCGTCTCCGTGCCCGTGTCCAGCACGTTTCCTTTCGCATCGCTGTTTATATTTCCGGCGGCTGCATTAACGAGTTTAACATTTTTCTCGAATTACTACAGCAATGGCAAAATGCATGTAGAAAAAAGTGATGCAAGTATCGAGTAGAGCACTCACCGAGCGCGTTACAAATAAATATAAATATCACACGTAAAAATCGCGCATCGCAAAATTTCAACATTCTCGTTTTATGCACATTTCTCTCTCTCTCTTTCTCTCTCTCTACGTAATAAAATTGCGGGCTCTTTAATCGAGTATACGGTATATGTATATCGGACAAATCGTAACTATATGACGAAGAGAGCAAGATACTTCGCTTGCCGAAATCAGATTTCATGTCCTATGTATCCCGCAAATTGACGGGAAGTGGTACGCGTAAATTACCAATAATCCACTCAATTTATAAACGCACCTTTAATTCAGCCCCCTCGTTAAAAGATTACTCGGCGCTATCGTTTGCCGATCTCGTAATCGCGGTTGAATTCGATATGCGATTAGTATGCGGGCAAACACGCAATATCTCTGAACAAATACGCCGCTTCGATAAATCTCGCGGAACGTGTACGCATTAGCTATATCTCTCTCGTTCTCTCTCTCTCTCTTTCTCAATAGATATATGTATCTCTACAGCATCAGTAATTTATTTCGCCAGGTGATATTCTGTGTTCAGAATATCAAACTTAAGGAAAAAAAGATATCAAAGCGATCTCTCTTTTGGCATCAGGCAATACCAAACGACTGGTACGATGATAAAAGCATTCTACGGCCGATCGAACGTGTCCGGATTTGCGAGGAGGGTCACAAATACATGGATTTGCGCATGGGGTCTTTTTACATGGTCGATTGATATACCACACGTGAAAGGAAAAGATGCCGGATTATTTCGCATCTAGCAGTTCTCAATAGTCGACATGAAGGAATATTCGTTCTGCGAGATTACTCTAATGTCAGTCTTCTCAGAAAAATCTTTCTCTTCAAGCTTAATCGTCTTAGTTGTATTTAATCGTCAAACAAATGATGATCTTATTAACGCGTTATTAAATGAACGCGGGGAAAACTTTTCATCAAACGTGCGCGCGTGTTAAATATGCAGCTCATACTTGTAAAAATATTACAGCCATGAACTCCGTAAAACTTATTATCTTAAGGTTGTTTAAAGTTTAAACTAGATAATATGAAAAAGCAATGAATAAGTCCGATAGCGGGGTGTTTATTTTTAAAACTTTATTTTCTATCGTTAAAAATATAATCGAGTTATTTCAGGTTGTTCCATATATCGTCGACTTTGTTAATGTGCTTCCACAACTTCATATATTAATAAATTCTTAATAGTCATCCATCTATCTATCACACATTTCTTCTCCCTGGTCGGGTATGTATGACGTACGTTCTCATAGTCAAGATTTCACGCTCGATTGCCCACATGAAAATAAACTTTAATTAACAACAATAAATGTCAAGAGTCATGCAATATGATGGTATAATCAGAATGCTGATTTATAATCAAGCATCGATTCAAATCGATCGTTCCATTTAACCTCGAGCTTGAAACTTGCTTTATCGCGTCGTGAATCGTCTCGTTTGCGACGATAAGCAAAATCGTTTCGCACAAATTGGATGTCATCTCTCGAGTAACAATAATACTTCCACAAATCGTCGCGAGCAACCGAGATCGTTTCGGCGTCCGATCAACGCGAACGAGATGTCGACATCGCTTTAAATGCCCGAGCATAAGGACGCGGGAAGTCGCGACAGGACTTTAGATAGCCCTAATGGAGAAAGAAATGTTGGATGGGTAAGGCCAATGGGGCGGGAAGCGGACTCTCGTGCTAGAAACGCGAGCGATCGGGAAAGATAGGGGCGACCGGGGGGTGAGAGACGCAGGCAAGTGTGCGCGCGTACGTGTGTTTGTACGTACGTAATGTACGTCGGCGAGACAGTGTAAAAGAGGGCACGAGAGTGGTGAGATTCGCGTAGAATCCCGATGGCTAAGTGGTTATCTTATCTTAACGGCCGCGCCGCGCAGCATCTCACCAGTCTGGCACCCTCTAACGTTCCCTAAACGGAAATTAACACCCAACCCTACGCGAGTCAGCCTCGACACCCACGCCGGCGGCATCGCAAAAATCAATGGCAATATTATATCGCCGCTCACGCACACAAGCATATATGCGATTCTCATCGCGTTCTCTCGCGAGCCTCTTATCGACTGCGAGAAAGTGCCGGGACAAGCCGAATGTCGCCTCCCCCTTGATGTCTGACACCCTGGATTGTTTGTTATAATAAAACTGCTAATTTCCTGAGGTGGCATGTCGGTCTCGACACTCGTCCAGTAGTCCAGGAGCCCTCGTACGGTTTGCGAACCGAGATAAAAATGTCGGGAGGAAGTGACGCGAGATAAGGGTTGAACACCGGTGCGATTTTACGTCGTATCTTAGATGAAAACGCCATGACGAATTCTGTTAATGGAGTAATTCGAAGAGTGCAGTTGACACAATATCAAAAATATCTTGCCGAGGTTTCTGCGACTCTTATTAAATATTTAGACATTCAAAATTGATGTGACAAATTTTCGCCAAGTGTGATTCTTCTTTAATTTCTTATTTGGGACGTTAATTTTTGAATAAACTGAATTTTCTACGTAAAAATAATATATCGACGTGGCAGAAAGAGATTTCATTCGCGAGCTTATCCGTTTCGTGTTATATTAGTGCAGCTATATTCGTGGAATAAAAAAATGTTAATGTTACAAAGTTAAATAATATAACGTGTATTCGCGTAATATTCAAATCTAAATTACTGTGAAACGCTATCGGGGAGAAATTTATGGAAGTTCGCGAATGGCAAGGGAGTTACTTTCTCTGCATCGATGATAAAAATATAAGTTTGTACTACCTTCGCGCCATTTGCCACTCGATCTATTTATTATACGATAGTATGTGCTGCGAGTACCGTAAAATAAAATTCCGCGACGGCAATACGTAACGTAGGCCAACGGATATATCCGCTCCGAGAGAGCTTCGGCAATACCGAATACAACAATAATCAGACGCGCGCAACCTCTTGGGAATCCCTGTATTTTCCCCATTTCGCCAGTTATGAATATTCTGAGGAGAGAGCAAGAGCACGGCGGGAGCGAGAAAGAGGATCTAAAATAGGAGAGGGAGAGGGTATTAACCGACAATATATCGCTTTTGCCACGCGATATACCCGGCGTGTGCATAAATGTCAGGTGCATTAACGATAACGCTCGATATTCGGCCGCAGGTCTCCGTGCCGGAGGAGGGTGAGGACAAGGGACCAATTTGCCCCCCACTTCCAGCGCAATATCAAGCAGCCGCCTACAGCACCACGACGCCGCAATTGCACAAAACCGTCACGGATTACACCGGTTGGTACCAACATTAAAAGACGTACTCACCTTAAGTATTTCTTCGCTCCGCAAATCGGCCGGGTGACGATCGTTAAGGTACACGTGTCTATCTGGAAAGTCTATCGTGCAGACGCGATTGATGCTTAAGAAGTAATCGATGAATCCACTGTTAAACTTCTTTTGGATGTCCAATGCTGGGTTTTAAAAAACCTTTAAAACTCGCCTCGCTAATCTTATCAATAATGCAACCGCTTCTATTTTTATTGTTTCTCTATTGTTGTATTTATTTTCGATTCCTTGAAATATTTAATTTCACTTTTCGGGAGTATTTTCTCGATGATTGGCGATCTGTCATATATATTACTAATTGATTCTAATCGAAATCGATTCATAGTCCTGATTCATCGTCGACCGATAGTATCAGACGTCGATCCGCATATCAATTACGTTCAATTTCACCAAAGACGTTTTCATTTCCGCATCCGTCGACTTCGACACGGATAGTTTCGCATTATCGCGGGAATTCTAACGGGCTGTCTCGAGTGACGGTCAAGCCGAGGTTTCGAATCTCTGTGCTTCTGGTTTCGCCGCGGCTACACGACGTAGTTGGAATAGTCGACAAACTATTCCGTTGCGTCTCGTTGGCACAGCTTGCTGGACAGAACGGCCAGCCACAGTCTGCAGAGAAACTGTTTGCCGCGACCTTGTTTAATCGAATTAGACCGGGATCTTTGATCAATTAATTGAAGCAACAGCGCGCTGTCACTCATTGACGGATTGGTTTCCCTTTTTCAGTTCTGCAAATGTCACACTAACAAGTCTCGTGACGCGGATGAGAAACGATACGACTAACAATAACACTATAATAAATCGGAATAGCGAGACACTCTCTCTCGCTCTTCTCGTTGCCTGCGAGTTTTGCAAAAGTACTTTATTCGCTGCAGTTGGCTCACGAGTTTCGCGGTTACGGCTCGGAGTCTCGTTAAAAAATGATAACGATCTTCCGAGACTTTGAAACTCGATGGGAAAGAATGAAAAGACGTTGCGGACGGCAATTTCTCTCGTTGGCGGCTGGCGCGGTGATTATATTTTTAACTTTGACGAATTTCTCGACTCCTTCTCGGACACAGGGATCGCCGAAGTGCAGCCGATTATTCCGCTCTTGCTTAACTCGACGATCAATCTTGCCAGGCCAATTCCGGCGGTCCAAGAATATCCATCTAACCCACCGCCCATACCACCCCCGCCGGAAAAGTATTACGCCAGTACGGAGATCTGTAAGGTGAGTCGCAAAAATGTACGGTAGACATGCGATCCGGGCCGATTAAGTCTTCCTGTAGCATTAATGCCAGGTACTTCGGACGCGAAACTATGTCAAACGCCGTCTCGTGACCGTCGGATCTCCGTCACGATCGCCAAAAGGGAGGCAACCTTGTAAAAACGGCCACTGGGGCTTATGTAAATCACGAGGTTAATTCGAATATTATACCGCTTGACTTTTCAATTTTCGCTCTCTACACTTTCTGAGTCAGTCCAAACGCACGCGCGATATTTTTCAGGACGATAAAGCTCACAATCAGTGTGAAATTATTACTGGCGTATCGTTGATATTACGCATCGAATAATTTTTTATAAAAGAATTATTTGAAACGTTATTTGTAAATTTTTTTTTAACGTTGGAATATCTATTTACAAAGATCGGGATATATAACGAATTATATTGCATTATATGCCGCGTAAAATAAATTGTATTTCGATGGGGTGTATAGCGTGGTATTGATTCCGACCTAATCTCGTTTTCAATACTTGTTTACTCTGCACAATATGCACGACGCAAAATACTTTATCCTATGAATTATGAGGATTAATGACCGAAAAACGAGGAAACAACGGGGCACTATCAATCATACCTACCGCGAAGAAAACGTCTTTCGCGGGCATACACAAATTATAGAGCGATAATGTAAAGGGAGTGGTTATTGATTATGGTAGTTCCATGAGCCGTACATGTATTTTTGTTTGATTATACTATCAGATCCGATCAGTTCATAGAAACGCAAACTATAGAAACAAATATTATCCCTCTTTAATCCTTTCGAAATATTTTTTGATAAAGAAAAATATTTATTTTTGTTAATTTTTTTCTGACAAGATATTTTTCGAAGGGTTTTACATTCGAATGGATAAAAATAAAAATATTTGCTTTAAACGTCAAACTCGTGATTGACATTATAGTAATCGAGGAAAAATGATCAATCACTTTGAATTCGCATATATATATATATCATTGCAGAGTCCTCTACCACCACTGCCACCCTCGCCCACGCCGAGCACGCCACCCCCGATGAGCGCGAAAGCCTCTAGCAGTGTGACTAGTTATAGTCCGGAAGATATGCTCACAGAAGAAGAAGACGAAATACCCGAGTGTATTCTCGATTTTCCGCGAGAGAAACTCAACATCGTTGAAAATCTCGGCTGCGGATACTTCGGCGATGTTCATCTCTGCGAAGTCGATAGGTTTCCTGGATATGATGAAGTCTTCAGGAATACTTCCAGCGATTTAGTTGTTGTTAAATCTTTGAAACCAGGATCTTCCGATGCTCTCAGGTAAAGATTATTTTCTTAATTAAATTTCTTAAATTTTCTTCGATTTAAAGATGAAAATGTAAAAATTTCCAGCTTCTTATATATACAAGGTTCAATAATTTCACTTACTCTGTACGGAAAATAAATTACTTAAACAGTCGAAAAGAATTCGGTTAAAGAATAATGGATGGTTATTATTTTTAAGAGTTTTTAATGCATGTGTATATGTGTGTGAAATTATCTTTCTAAACAATTTCTCATAATATTAAAAAAAAATATTCTCATAATATTAAAAAAAAATATTTATAATAATTCTTGCGTCACAAATAGTTTAATAATAGTAATAATTAATACATTATATGATAGCATATTTTTATAATATAGTATATAACTCTTTGCATCTATTACATTCTATTGATTACTATCGATATAATAACAGACCATCTATTGACAAATTTTAATCATTTTGCACTTGGATTATATCGCGCTAAGAGCATTGAATTATATTTACTTTTTGATAAACCATGCATTTTGTACGGACCTTTGATCCTTGTAAGATAACCACTGTAGTGAATAAAAGTAAAAAAGATGAAAGCACATACACAGTACGATAATAAAAAATTATTCCAATTACATTACAGAGTGCATTTAACGCCATAATTTAATAAGCGACACAACGTAATTCCGAATGTAATGATATTAAGTGGATGCGGCCGGATAATGCGAAAGAGCTTTAAACGATTGATGATTGGCAATCGATGATTGGTAATCGAAAACCTCCTCTACGCGTATTCACGTCAATGTAATTTTTTCACGAAACATTTTTTGCGAATTCAAGATCTTTAAAAAATTGAAAACAGAAAAATTCTTGTATTCAAATTTTTTTTTCTCTGTAACATGAAATTTACCGATCAATGATATAAAATTTATTCAATACAATTTGTTTACATTGGTTTTACAACCATTTACAAACAGTATTTATACAATTTTCGATATTCTATCCTGGTCAAAATCGACTATTATAATCTACTTAACGAATCACCATATATACGCTGTACGTGCTTCATTTCAGCTTTTTTCAGAGAGATATTTGAAAATCAGCGATACTGATTACAGCAATATTGCGCGCGCAAAATGTTTAATTATTTATCGAATAATATTTATGCGTACGTATGCGAAAAAAAAATAATTTAATAATTGTCATAAATGTCCTGAATACATATGTAAAATGTGTGATAATTATAAAAAAATTACAAATTGTTGTACATTATTTCTGCGTGATAACGATTTGTTTGATTTCGAGGCATTTGTTTTTATAAGATCCATTATTTTCGGAAGAATATATATTGTAAAATTCCGATCCATACGAAACAACTCTCGCAACTCGATCGTACTGCATCAGTTAATAAAAGAATTTTCTTTTATTGCTTTCGCGATACCGCTATAGTAGCGTTTTGTTCTTCGGACGATTGCGATTTTCACATATTCGCGAAATAGGCCGATAGAGATGGAAACAGGCGGCGAAGCGTGTCGTACCGAATTCGCCGGCCCCCGACGACACGTTGTCGTTGCAGTAGCGAAAGGATGATCCCCGCAGACAGGATCACGGATGGTATTGTCTACAAAACACATTTCGCCGACTGGGAAAAGCCCGTGGAACCCGTGTCGTCGCGAAAAGCGGATGCAACTCATGTTAGAGCGCGAATCGTTCCCGGCCTTTATCCTTTTCTACATCCGTCCTTCTGCCGGCTACGACATTCCGGAAAAGTCTGTCAATCCAACCGTCCTGATAGATTTTCGTTTCTTGATTCTATTTCGTTCGCCTGACAATTGAATTTTTCAATGCAACAAAAATGTCTCTTTCTACCTTGTTATCTTCAATTAGATGATTCTTTAAGCGTCACGCGCGTGTATTTTATAAAAATATATATTTTACATAAAAAATAAAAAATATTTTATATGAAATAATATTATAAAATAATATTTTATATAAAAAATATAAAAAATAATGTAAAATTTATAAAGAATATAAATAATTCGGCAGCTTAACATCTTTTTCGATTAATACAATATAAGAGTTGTTTGCTGATTTACTAAATGCGTATTTTATCAATGAATCTTGACGAATGTATGTTTGAAATTAATCAGATATATATGTATTTTTTTACATAAAAGTATGCTTATTTATGCAAATAAAATATAGAGAAATTTTAATAAGAAAATGCAAATTTTTGAATTAATAATTGTTTACAAATATCATGAATTACTTTATGTCCTAATGTTTACTCGTGACTGAACCAAATTGATTATTCGATTACAAAATAAAAAGAATAAGAAAGAAATAGATTAATTTTATTAGCTGCATTGTATATAATATATTCTTTTTGTAATGCTTTGCGATATTAAGATAAGACACTTTAGCATCAAAAATTCAGAAAGATACAAAATCAATTAGATTCCAATTTTAATACAATCTATCCTCAACTCTGATCGATTACATGAAACAGCTAATATTTTATTTCATCTTTGTTTTACATTGTCTGCACTCAACAGAGAATTTATTTGCTATATGCCTAACAAAATAGTCACAGTGCTTTCATCTTTCGCGCTATAATCTTGCTAGTAAGTGTCTTCTTTCCCTTCGCGCTTTCGCTTTTTCACATTCTTTTTTCCTCGCGAGATGGCAAACTCTCGAGAAGCAAATGAGCAATACCAGAAATATCTGCATTACTTTCAACATTACACTTACATACGCACACATATTCAATACTCATGACTCCAATAGAATTGCGCGCGCGCGAACATCTATGAAGATATTACCTACTTTGAATACTTCATCTTCCAGGATAGAATTTCAACAGGAAGCAAAGAGGCTAGTGCGACTCGCCGATCGAAATGTCGCGCGGCTACTTGGTGCCAGCCTCGAGGATGATCCCATGTGTATCGTATTGGAAAACGGCGAGTACGGGGATTTGAATCAATATCTGCAGAGTCACATCGCTGAAACATCGAATTTACACATGGCCAAAACGCTCAGGTACAGAATAAACATGATATTTCTATTTTAATTTTTTATATAATCTTTGCATTAATTAATTAATATTATTATTATTATTATTAATTAATTAATAATAATATTATATAATAATATAATAAATATTATTATTATTAATTTTTAAATGCGAATATATTGGAGACGCAGGATGATGCATCATATTCCATGTGATGTTTCATATAACAATCGCCGATCATGTAACATTGTACTTTAAATGTTATATTTTATCATCGAGAACAACATCTTAATACTCCTCGATTGTTCATAAATACGTGTTATTATGAGTTTTTGAGAGATCGTTTGGGAATTCGATTCGCACGCGACCGGAGATATATAACGAAAAATGCATGTGTATCGCGGGTACAGTCGTTATTCGAGTAATTAACATAATTTAATGTGAGCGCAAATTTGATATTGTGGTACGGAATAATTTGTAACACTGGTATCGTCGCATCATTTTAAAAGCGATACATTATCAATGTCCGCTTTAACGCACACTGCCAATTGGCATTACAATACTCGAAGTAAATATCATCCGAAATAGATATTATATAATTATGCAATCATCATTCTGACACAAAATCAATGAACCATATTTCGATATGTCCTAAATTTTGCTTTGATACCATTCCCGTATTTTCGAATAAGTTGTAGTGCTCGTTATGTAGCGTCATCTTCAATAAATTATTTATAATAAATCCACTTCATTAATTAACAGCGCAATGTTTGCATTAATGGACTAATCTGATTAAGCGAATAAAAATTTATCAAGGAGATTACATATAATAGTAATTAGAGTCTCTTTTTCGGGAATTTTAATGAGAAATTGCTCAAATATATTTTACATCATCGCGAAAACGGAGTACACGCAAGCGAAGAATAATTGCATGATGCAGAATGACTATTTTGTGCGTTACCATAAATGAACGATGAAAGCATTCGAGCAGCACCACAATGGGCGTCCCGGTCGAACGCGATCGTGCGAATTTTTGTTTTATTCTGTCGCCACGAAGAACGTCAGTTCCAATCACGTCCGGAGGGCGCGTGAAAACGCGCGATTGCCAGGACTATGCGGAAAGTACTCGAAATACGAGAAATCGGCTGAAAATGAGAGGTGAGCGACGGAGAGGATCATCGGTGCTCGTGACAGATGTCGGCGGAGCGTGTTTTTCCGCGCGTTTTCAGCTTTCGCGCGAGATGAAGCAGCCGCCGGAGATCTCGCTTTGTTCTCATCGAGTACCGCGGAAAACATCAATGCATGATATTCAATAATTCACGTATATGCAATGCGAATAGGAATATTCCATAATTATACTCGTGAAAGCGATAGATATTATTATATATGTTATATATATTTATATGATATTTAATATATATTATATTTATATTTTATATTTATATTTTATATTTATATTTTATATTTACATTTTATATTTATATTTTATATTTATATTTTTTGTAATATTTTATCATACATTTTTTATTGCGCTACGTGAACGAATTTATCTTTTGGTTTTAATAATCCTTAATGTAAATATCATTACGATTGCGAAACAGCTGCCGTTAATCGAAATAACATGTATACACATTTCCCCATGTATAATTTTTAAGAAGAACCATCGCTCGCGCGAATCACTCATATCCGTGCGATTTAATTGCTCATGGCTCTCAAATGCTGGCACATTTGAATAACATGCATTTAACAGCCATATCTGCGGCAGTATTCCCGAAGTGGTTAATTAAATTATCGATATATATCGCTCTGGATCGTTCATAAACGAAGTCGTTTTCATTTATTTTACGAATCGTCTTTTTAACTAGTGCCAGTTTGTCGCGAAGGAATCTAATAATATTCCAGGATCGACAGAATAGTCGAGCTTTTAATACGCTTTCTACCGAATCGCATTTCGCCGACGTCGCAAATGAGGCTTTGAGATTTGCGACGCTGAATCATCTGGAAAATTTTTGCACGGCGATGTTAGACGCTTCTCATGCTCCATTAATATAATTCGCGTATTCTCGGTAATTTTACTAAATTATAGAATTAAATATAATTCGTGCAATTAATATCTTTTTCAGACATGAGAAAATTATGGATATGTTCCATTTCAATATTTTTGCTAAGAAAAGATTAACTACAAAGTAATAACGTTATTAATATTAACGTTGCGAAGCACATTTATATGATAGTGTTTTTGAATAAATTATTTTCATTTACATATTACAACATATAAGTTGTATGCGACATATAAATGGCTTAATCCTTCAATTTTTCAAATGGACATTTTTATTCAATGCGGTGAACAAGACGAGAATATTTTGACGTATCGATCAATCGAATATAGAGACGTTTCTTATAACTATTTTATATATTATTGCTCGTTTGGTTATATGATGTACACGTTCGTGTCATAACAACGTTCAACATGGAAGAACGATGTTAACATCAATATGACTCCATCGGCGTATCTCTCATAGAAATACCACACAGGATCGTCCCGTAAATGGTTTGCGCCCTATATATGTATCAGGAGTGTAAATAATAAAAACGCTACCTGCCCACTTTTTCAACAAATGCAAACGTTTAATCGTAACTAATGCTTGTTACACTTTGTTCAATTTTTAATTTGCTTACCGAAAAATAGAAATAATACGGTATAAAGTAAATTTTTGAAAGTTTAGAAATTTTTGTAATTTCTCTCTGTAAATTAACAAGTAGAAAACTTAATTAACATAAGCAACATCAGCATAAAAAAAGTAAAAATATTTGTTTGCTATAAAAAAATACTTGCATCATCTCTTATTACGAAAAGCAATATATACTTTCATATATGAAAGGAAAGAGTTTGACAAGTTTAATTTGAATCGTCAAGTTTTTACTTTTTAAAATAGTTCAACAGGAAGAAAAATATTTTATTTTTATTTACATTAAAAATATCTACTACGGTCGTCGAATTAACACGATTGAACATTCGCTACGGCTACAAACGCCATGCCTACGTTTACCAAGAAGTTTCTGCAAGTAAACTTCACGACATACACATAACTGACTCGTTCTTCGTGTTGCAGTTTCGGCACATTGGTTTACATGGCCACGCAAATAGCATCTGGCATGAAGTATCTTGAGGAAATGGACTTCGTGCATCGAGACCTCGCCACGAGGTAAGCTGACGTTGTTTCCCATAAGTTGCTTTGAGCGCTTGCTCATTAATGAGCCAGTTGTTGTTTGCCGTATTATGGGTTTGCTGTTTCGTAAGCAAAACTAAACTCACATACAGCAGAGACCCTGTCAATTTTCCTCGTAATAATATATGAGAGCGCGAATACCGCAAATAAAACGATATTTTCAACAATTTTTCTCTTTTTATGTTGCTGCAATAAATACACTAAAAACAATGTTTATAAAAATTTATATATACACATTTATTTATTTATTTATTCTTTTAATACTTATATATTTTCTTTTATTTAATGTATCTACATTTTTTAAATATATAACTAATTAAAAGAATATAGCAGCTTTTTATTTGTACAACATATTTGTGATTGCACTAATTACTTTTACGAAATAATTATAAAATGAACAAATCGAATAATGTGAAGAATCAAACACATTCGATTGCAACATAGTTCTTCTTGTACAGCTTTTGTATTCGGAAATTTATTAAATTCCGTTATCTTAAATTCCAAAAAGAACGCTTTAATCTCTATTTGCTGCGTTTCTCAATGATCGCCAGACGGAATCGTTTCACGCATCAAACAAACAAACAAACGCATACTCTATTCGATCTTTCTGTAGGCGTATGAAAGCATGCCTTCAGGCCTTACGATGGGATTGCTTTATTACAGTGATCGATTGTTTTATCTCGCTCCCCCTTCCTAGTGTGTCTCTATATACCTAACGATTCCGTTTGCCCCTAAACCGTGCTTTTCCAGCCTGTGCGCGATTTGGAAACTCTTGAACCCGACAGCGCCGGCAGCGCGGCACGACAGCCAATATTGTAGAGCTATTAAAAGCAAGGGAATGGAAGGATAGAAAGAGGCCGGAGGGGTTTAGATCACGTGTTCGAATTATTAACTCTAATCGTGGACCTTAATTATTATGCCCCTTGGCGCGATCGTTGTCGCGACAGTAGCGAGGGTACAAGAACCAGGCAAAAGGGGTGGAATTTATTCGTGACTTATAGAAAAGTGTAGCATATTGCGTTTATAACGCAACTGAAAAGAAGTTATTTATTATTTTTTAACACCTGGATATATTATTCTTTACGTTTGTGTAGCACAATATTCAATATATTAAGACCCTATATATTTGTTAATCATTTTTTCAATGTACGAAGTATATTTAATTTTCATTTAACCGCTCCTACGTAATTTGTACAAATAAATTTTATTGGAATTTTATTTCATCGCAATACATGATAAATATAATTACAATAGCTAGCATAATACATACATTTATGCGATTTACAAAAGAAAATGCGATTGCATTTGGATACTTGAGAAAGCAAAAAAGAAATCGTCAAGCAATGTTTTTACAATGTCAAAAGTAGAAAAACTTGCCGACAAGTCTGACAAAGTTTGCAGATGTTGCTAAAATACACTGGGTCGCGTAAAATAAAAGTGTTGCTATTAAACCATCCTCACGTCAGTGAGCCATTACCTTTTACCATGGAACGCGATAAACGGTAAGGTTTACGCGCAAATCAGCGCGGAACTTTGAACAACCGTCGTTTTCCACATGCTCGCAACCATCCTACTCCATTCATGAGCTGCTTAAACGCGAGCTTACTCGAGCTCGCAAACGAAATTGCAAGATACGATCTCGTCTGTCAACCGCACAGCTGCAATATTCCGTTCTGTTCATTAATCTTTATCCATCGTAATTATTAAAAAAATGTCATTTATGCGAATTTAGTTTTATATCTTTGTCATGTGATATTTCGAAAGAGTTTTTTTTTATTATTTTATAATCGATTTTGTAATTAATTTATTTCAATAGATTGCGTTCAATCAGATTGCATCAAATATATATGTATATATATATATATATATATATATATATATATATATATATATACTTATACCTATATAGAAATAAATTAAAAGAGGCTTTTTTTACGCCAGTATATATAAGAGAAAAATCATAAACTGAAAAATTAGTGTTTAGTTACGCTTATGTGATATATATTTCGATAAACTCTGTTTGTTTTTGATATGACTGTCGCGTGCAGAGTATAAAAAATAAAAAGCGCGCCCAAACACATATTCATTTAGCCATATATATATATATATATATATATATATATATATATATATATATATATACAATATAAACCGATAGAATGCAGCTGCACAGTTAGCAGCGATCTCATGGCTATCGATAATAAAAGAATGGAAGTGTTAATTTGATCAAAAAATAATTCTATTGTTTTTCATCTCTGCAAAATTCGCGAGAGATGGAATATATTTCGCAATATATTACAACAACGAGAGGGGAAAAAGGGCTTTAGAGAAATTACAAGAGAGGAATGTTTTCGAATATTTTTCAGGAATTGTATAGTATGTCGCGGATGTACCATTAAGGTATCCGATTTAGGCAGCGGACGAAGCGCATATGCGGCGGATTACTTCCGTGTCGATGGACGTCCCCCATTACCGATTCGATGGATGGCATGGGAATCAATGCTAATGGTGAGTGGTACACAATGAAATGCTTACTGTATATTTAAGCGTTACATATTTTAATTCTACATCTCTCTCGACATTTTTTTTGCCTTCGGGTTCAGAAAATTTACCGAAAGTTCACGATTTAACATTCGCGCGTTAACGATAATAAAGATCGCCGATGCGAGAAGAGTTGAATAGAATTATAAATGAAAATAGAGGCCATATCAAATTGGCGCAAACAACTTTCTCGCAAACGAGGAAAATAGAAAAGGGGGACAAAACAGGAAAACGCGACAGATCGTTTTGATTTCGCTCCACGCATGAGTTGGACGTATCGTTTTGACGAACTATGGCTACGTATCCACACGATGAAATCCGATTTCGCTCGGATGCGTACTTTTTTTCATTGTTTTTCGCACCCGGAAGTAAAGCCTAGCCTAGTCACTGTTACGCATCGCGCGCTGTCGCAAGTCACGATTAATTTGTCTCTGTCCATCATAAGTACGTGTCACAATCATTGCAGCCAAGATACGTTTTCTATAAACTTACAGGTGCGATAAAAGAAACTGGAAAATTGGATTCCTCTCGATTACGGATCATCAAAGATTTTTGTTTTCATATTGCACAAGTCGATATTAATATTCCGTTCTTATATTGAAAATCATCTTTAAATGAAATTTTTGAGACGAACCAAGTACGAATAGCTTAGCCATGAATTACAGCTATGAATTTTATTTTGTTGACGACGAAATTATGCAGATATTTTAAACGAATTTCTCGGTTACGCGATCGAATCAGAATCAATGCCATCTGTCAAAATTAAATTAAAACTGTAATTGTTTATTATCCTTATTAATTGTTTTCATTACACACAAATTGCATCAAAAATCGCTGTTTGATATATAGCAAAAATAAATTCTTATCAAATATATCTTATTCTTAGCAAATATATTTTATTCTATGATATTCCTTCTTAAATGGAAGTCTAGTATTATATATAAAATTAAGAAAGATATAGAATTTAATTTCTATTATCACAAAATAAAGGTTAAGTTTCACATTTCATTTAATGTATCTTGCGCGCGTTTAATTTCTCATATGTAGCGATCAGTGTAAAACTGGCGATCCGCGAAACCGCTCGATATCAATGTCGATAGAGCTGTCTGCGGTCACGTTGGTATTAGCGAATTGAGCTTGCCCATCACAGCGCACGATACGCGTCATTGAGCTATAAAAGTACCGGACAAAATATGTGATACGCGTTTGAAAATTCATTTTCGATGTTGAGCGGCTTTTTCGGCTTAACCGTTCGACAATCCAAACACAATCGTTCCATTTCTCGTCGAATACGACTAGTTTTCGTTGGTGTTACAACGTAAATGACGACGGAAGATATTCGCGTTTACTCTTTGCGAAAAAATTCGGGAAAATATGTGGCAATTTGAACTGGGCAAAAGGAAAGTCGAATTTTTTCCGTCGACGTTTAAGAGTTTTACGTGAACACGCTAGATCAGTGGAACATGTCGGCGTTATAGCCAGACACTGCAGTGAGCGAATGATAAAAGCGTTTTTATGCAAGCTACAGTTTTCAATAGTCAGGTATAAAATATTTCATCATTAATAAAAAATATTTACATGAAACAGTTACAATTAATGAAATATTAATTTGAAGAATCGAAGATTTTTTGAAAAGATTAAGAAATTATACAGATGATTCAAATACGCAAGATTTCAATTAAACAATTTATGAGTTTTTTCTGGTAAAATTTTAAATATGTATGTGATATTTAATCATTTAAATATGCAAATATAAAATGGCAGGTAAGTACATAAACTCGACTACTTAATATTGCAAAATTTTCAAAATAAATATTTCTACGAGACGATTATGCAAATTTGATAAAGATTTAATGGAAATGTGGATACTTTCTAAAGATTATAAAATTATTATCTTTTTATATATTATTTATATATTATTTTAATTTAAATTTGACGCCCGCTTTGCAATTAAAAGTATTTTTGTTGAATTAATTATATGTTAAAAATATAAATTTAATTTTAGTCTTTGTTAATTAGAAAGATTTATCGATGTGTCGTATTCTTTATCGTCATTTATGGAATTGTAACTGTATAATGGCAAATTAATATCAAAATGGTAATTTCGACAAAACAGAAATGAGGATGGGAAATAGTATCGAATAGCTAGTTGGTATCGTCCTTTCAAACTGACTGCGCCATTAATGTTTCATTATTGTCTATCATTTATCCAGCCTCTCCTCTATTGTACCGCGCTAATGAAATGACCTCGTTCTTCTGCGCAAAATACCACTTCAAGCATTATCTCGGATTAACGTCGATTTAATGGTTTCGCATCGATCATATCAGAATCGACTCGGGATCGCGAAGATCATTCTCTATGAGAAAATGTATTCGGTGTCATACAGATTCTTAAATCAAACATGTATGATTTAAAAAAAGAAAGTCTTACTTATTATTTTTTAAGAATATTTAAATATGGAAATATAATATCACCTTTAGAAAAAAAGGATATACTCTTTTTGCATCGACATTATTAATAACGTTAATTTATTATGTATTATTTCATTGCTTGCACAGATCGTTATTCATCTTTATTTAGCTTCAGTAACTTAAATTAACGCGGAAGTATAATAATGTACATGTATGATTGTGTATCACGCGTTTCATAAATAATCGAATCATGTCTTAAGATTCTCCTGAGAATATGCTCAGACTAAATTCTCTGCACGTATACGCAATTTTCTTAGCATACTACCAGTAATGTAATTTAAATACTAAAGTTTTGAAGTAATTTTGCACCAAGTATATAATAATTTGTTGTAAATCAGTTCAAAATTGCGATGCTACTGCGAGTTATTCCGATCTTATCATTCTTCTTTTATTCTTCAATTTTTCCACGTTCGAGTTAATGAAAAATTTAAAGCACTTTTTTCGCAGTTTTTATTATTATATACAAGTAAATAATTTTATTTATATTTTTTATATAATTAAAGTATAGACTACGAGAAAAGAACTTTATCTGATAGAAAGAAATGATTGTATTGTACATTGATTTTAATTAAAATCTGTAGTTAATTAAAACTTTACCCTTGCCCGACTTATCGTTGATATTTTATCATACGATTATTTTGCTTCACGGATCATACGCATGCCAATGAGAGCGGAAGGTACACAGCCATCAATGTGAGGAAAAGAGTAAAACCGTGTAACTGCTTTACGGCTTTCTGCGAAGCTTGGGCTTAACTGAGTTACGTCAGTTGAACTTTAGGAAACTCGAAGGCGCATACAGTTTCCATAAATTACTCCTTCGCGCTCAAGCATTAGGTTTCTATCCTGAGCAAGTCTCGCTTTTAATCATTTTTGCGCTTTACCAGAATCAGATATTAACTTAAATATGTCACAAAAAGAATTTTATATATATTTATATCGTAATGTCATATATTTTTAAAATAATTAATTTTTGTACAGAGAGAAAGATATATATATATTCACACGTGTATGATATACAGAAAACTAGTATGAAATAATTACAAGCCACTATACGAAATTTCAAATTTTTTTCATGGAATAAAAAATTTATTCAATTATATCAAAACTGTAATAAACTCTAAGTGCTCTTAAACTATGAATAATAAAAGCTACTGTAACAAACATGCAGCACGCGTAACAAACGAGCTTTTGTGAACATTTCTTGGATGTTTACATTGCACAGGGAAGGCACACATGCAAGGGCGACGTCTGGGCGTTTGCCGTCACGCTATGGGAAATTCTGACGTTCGCGCGAGAACAACCTTTTGAGGAGTTTCCGGATCATCGAATAGTGGAAAACGCGACGTATTTTTATCAGGAGGATGAGCGAAGGGTAAGTGAGCGAAGTAATTCTTCGATGTACTTAATCTAATGAGCGTACCGAGATTTTGCGAAGGCCAAGACTCTTCGAATGCATCGCTATTTATTTCGTCTTTCAGAGATTTGATTATCATATTCTATAAATTTTGTAAGTTATTCCATTTTTTTTTACAAAAAAACTCTCAGAAATAATGTCGGTATATTTCGTTTCTAAATGTAGGACAATTAAATTTCTCTGAAAAAAACACTGTTTAGATAAACGCACGCGCGCAGAGTGCTAAATATGTAATTACAAAAGTGAGCCGCGCGAGTGTGTTTCCATGAAAATGGCATAACTACTTGCCTAATAATTCATTTAATGTAATAAATATTGCGTCGCGCTCGAGCCCCGTCGCGTTCATTTTCCCAACGTCGACAATGCTTCAAAATAACACGTACACTGTAAGAATTGTTATTGCGCTCTCTCGGTTTGCGTGAGCTATAAATATTTATGATTAATTACGCAAAATATTCTTTAAATTATGCTATCTGTCTCGTTCATTTTTATCTCGTACTGTATTAAATTATAACGAGTCGCTTGATAATCTGTTTTCTATTTTGATGTAAAATGCAAAAATATTATTTGCGTATTTAAGTACTACTGCAAAATGCAATTCGCGATGTATCATACATGTATACGTGACTGATAATGCTAGAATCGACTCGCTTATTTTGCGCAGATGATATTACCCTTGCCAAAGAACTGCCCTAAAGAGATTTACGACTTGATGCGTGAATGCTGGCAAAGAAACGACGTCGACCGACCAAACTTCCGTGAGATCCATCTGTTTCTACAACGAAAAAATCTCGGATACAAACCCGGTGAGTCGAACGATACCTGATATAGAGAACTGGAAGGCTGGAATCTTATCCGGCTTTCTATGATCGGCGAGTTAAACGGCAATTGGTGGAACTGCCCCTCATCGACCAAGCTAGACCAAGTCAGACCAAGTTAGTATCTAGGGTGACGGTCCATAAATTGTCTGTAACGGACGTGTATCGGTTGTGATTGCCCGTGATCGTATGCGTCCATCGTGTCGATGATCTAGATCATCAATTGTAATATTTATACGCAAGGGAAAGACGTCGAAACTTATGAACTGATCGCGTCCAGAATTTTTCACGATTATCACAGTCATTAAATTCTTTTCGGCCGTCATTACGCATCGCTATCAAGCGTTGTGAATTTAACTAACAATGTGAATCGCACAAATCATTATTGCCGTAGCACCTGCGTGCAATCTGCAAAGAGACGTTATTTGTATAAAAGTTAAAAATGCAAAAGTTGCACTTTTTAATGATTCCTTTGCAACCGAAGCAGCAGATCATAGAATAGAGCTATATATTGCCGATACATGTATTATTTCGCGAATGCGCAAAGCTTGACAATCGTCATAGGATATTAATTTTTTACTTTTTTTTTTAATCTGCTAATTTTCATATGGTGCGGAATATAATTTATTCTACACGTTCGATCTTTCGGCAAATTTATTTTCTCGATTTTTTTCTCTTCTCGCACGATTATATCGGCGGTTATGCCGCTTGCGAAAGTTACGCGTCGTAACCCCTCGATAATGATACCGAGTATCTGCGGCGGCCGTATCCACGCTTGTGCAATCGGAATGGATAGATTATGATTTTGATCCGCGCCATTCGATACGAAATGGAACGTTACTAGTGTCGGCAATACGCGGGGAGCACGTTCGATAAATCGCACATACGCTGTGCTCCGAAATTGATACTGTCAGCAAACAAGCTTATGATATTCCCGCCGTAACGGCACTCGCGTCACGTTCGGGATATATGTGGATCGTACTCGAAAATCGTGCGTTATACGTAACATTTCCGCCGACGAATAACATAGTCCATTCTAAACTCCGACCCTCGAAAAAAAGTGGTTTCTTTATCCGGGATCGGAGTCTTTGCGAGTCTCACGTGGGATTACGTTATCCGTTTTCGAGCCTTTTGTATGTCAGTTCCATGGACATGTTTACGAAGAAAATTTGTTTGCCCAAATATACATAAATCTATATATATATATATATATATATATACGTATTTACATATATATACCGTTTATAATAAAGTTAAGCAAGTTGTTGTTTTTAGCAAAGCGAGATCTATTGCGAGTGTATACGACTGAGTCGATTGTAATATTGATCAATGTATTTTCGGTGACATTTGACGTGGGTAACTTATACCATTTGCTGGGTCGTTTTATTCCCAAAGCTATCGTTCGAGAAGACAAATATAAAGACAAACTAATTATCTTTCATTCTACCGTTTAATTACACGACCAATACCTTTCTTTTCAATTGATACGAACGCGACGATCTTTCTTTTGAACTTTTTAATTGAACATTCACCACAGTGGCGTGCGGAAGGAATTATACAAACGTCGCTTCAAGGAGCTTATAAATGCACAAAGAATTATAAAATGGGTTTAAGAGGAATGTTTTGTAAAATTAATTAGACCGTTGCGCCGTACAAGAAGCATTTTTCGGTAGAGTTCCGGAAAAGGAATAATCTTAAGCCGCGAGTTTGCGTTAAGTTTCCTTAAACTACTATTAAGCTTAAGATGCGCTTAGCCCAAGTGCATAAATGTTTGACAATACCATTAGAGGTTGCAGTATAAATTCATATAGAGTGTGTAAAGAATGTTAAAGGATTAATCGACACAATGTAAATTATTAGAGCATTCTACGACTGACGTTCTATTGTCGGTCGGTATCGCATAATCGTTTTGGGGTCGTTAACTCTATCGATTTGCAAAACTTCGCCTGTGTCCCCGTTGCTCGGCAAACGCCACAAGTTGGATACATCGTGATTTTAGAGAGAAAAAAAAGGAGAAGCACATGTGACCTGACGTTAAGTTTATAGCATGGAATAGAGATGAGCGATTTACCCGGTAAATGTTTTTGTTTGATTTCATATGCATAAAATCCGTTCGGCTTTTTATGTATATACATATAAACAGTCTGCAGGCTATAAATATTTTAATGGAGAAAGCTTAATTATTTCTGCATTTTTCGATGATCGATTTTATGTGATTCTCTGAATTTTTCATCATTGTTTCTCTGAATATTTTATTACTCCAAACAGTTACGTATATTCCAGCAGTAAAATACATTTCCAGGTAAATGGCTATCGTTAGTACGAAATAATGAAAGACTTCTATACTTGTTAGAGTGAGTCTGTATGAGATGTGTAGCGAAAGCAAGAGATAAATAGCTGTGCAAATCGTGACGGATCCCGTGATGTTCAAAAAATTGTATGTCACATAAATCCCGTTGTTTTAGGCATTTAGCCCCGTGCAGGCTAAGAGACTCATGCTCGTGATTTGTAAGATAATTAAAAGTAGAACATATAAGCGATGAATGTGTATGTTATATAATTACGCAAAAAAATTCACATGTTTTTTTTTTATTATTGTGTATTTTTTTAAAAACTTCAGGATTTATCGAAAATGAAAGAAATTTATAAGATTATAATATCAATCTCTGTTGATTTAAAATGAATATATAAGCTCATTGATAAATATTTTTCCATTTTATATTCTCTTTTTTTAATAATCTTTTTATTTTTTCTTTCATTAAAATACAATAACAAAACTGTAATATAAATTCTCTCTTGAATTTCATTATTAATGACTGATTACGTGAAAAAGTTTTTACGTACCTAAATATCAAAATTATTTAGTCACTATAAAATTGTCTCATTTATTATTCAAATTATTTGCCAATTAAAAAATCAGTATTTGAATTAAGGTTAAATCTCTGTAGTTATTGACGACGTGACAAAAATAAACGAGGAGTTCTTGTAATACGATTTCGTTCCATTATCGCATGATTAATTGAAAATGAGAAATCTATAATATGTGTCTATGTGACATGACGTTGATAAAATTTAATATATAAAGTTAATAAGAACAATAACTTAAGGACAACTGCCACTGCGTTAGCGAAACGAGTATGTCAAGTGATATCCATCGCGACCTTAATTTGAGGCCCAGCGATCAGTCTCTATGAATTATCTGAATTCTTTACATATACATGTTCTCAACTTTTTCAAATGTCCACTGTGAATGATCATAAAAAAATCTAAACGTTCGTTTCTGCAGGGATATCGACTCGCGGATGTATCTTCTACAAGGCTGATGTATATATAACCACTCGGAAATATATAATATACAGTGGTAATTTTAAAACGAAGCTTCCTGCATGATCGAACGCAATATGGACTACATTATACATATTTCTTCCTACAAAAAGAATCGTGCAAAATTAGAAACACTTACGTACAACTTTTTGCATCGATTGCTTTATTTAGAAAGAGAATCACGTATAAGTAAGTGAATATTTAATAAAGAATGAACAAAAATATAGCGACTTATTTTATACAACGAGAACATGCTTTAAATATGTAATCACACATATCTTTTGGATTTTTCATAATCATCGGAAAAATTCATATCGTATTTACATATCGTCGTCATTTAATTCTGGGAACGATTAATTTTAACGAGTAGTTCGCAACAGTTCTTTCTGTAGGAAGCACTCTCGCTGAAATATTCGAAGAAAAACCATAAGTGTGAAAAAAATCATCGTAGATTATTACGTAATCGAATCAACTCCGCCGACTATTTATTGTCATCGTAGCGATAATCTATTAAGCTGACGAAAGAAGACACTTTGTACAATTTTTAATAACGAGATTCTAATTGTTGTAAACGCATCGACTCCGAATTTCAAATCGTTTCTTCGAACGAGCGAGAGGCGAGATGATCGAGAGTGAATCAAGCTGCATCTTACCGCAGAGAATTCTCTCATTATAATATATAGAATAAATTAAATCACACACTTTGATATGATTATGGATAATATCAAGCAGTAGCTTGATTGGAGCGAACAATAAACGAAATTTATAGAGTAAAAGTCTTTTAAGAAAAATATTTTACAATATTTGGATAACGAGATTTTTTGAAAAACTACACATTCGACGACAAATTGTCTCTATTAGTCCGCCTAGTGCATAATTCGATGCATCGACACTTTGAAAAAGACAATATTGCAAAATGCGCCTCGACAGTGGCACGAAATACGATTCAATGAGAGGAGAACTTTACCATTTCTCCGGCGAACGAAAAAGATTTACACAATTTATTCGGGCATTGCTCGAACGTATCCGCATTCGCTGCAGTCTGAGAGAGAGATTTTCGTTCAACAACGCATTCTCTCTTTTGCCGGCTCAAACGAGCTCTATTTTTCATGCATGTACGCAACCAATGGTAGCGGCCCGATCGCGCGCTCGCCTCTCGCCGTTAGACGCAAACAAAAGTCGAAACTCGGACGCCCCGAATACACGCGGATTCCGCGTTTGCCGATGGAATTTAATATCTGCTGCCTTCGTTACGAAACACGCGGCCGTGCTTTTTTCGCCCTTTTCCACTCAATCCTGCTCCTCCTCCCTCACTATTCATTCTTTGCGCTCGTTTCTCAATGTGATCGAGGTATCGGCCGAGAGAGACACGATCTTTGCTTAAAATACACGATGGAATCAAACGAATTGAAAAAGCATCAAATCGAATTAAATTCTTCCATCTCGTATGCATTATTGTTACTCGCATGCATCGCTTGCTGATTTCGAGTGTTTTTTTCATCTCTTCTAGCTTATATTCACACATTCGTACGAATCCGAACATTGTGAAAGAAAACTAGTGACAATTTAAATTCTTTCAAGAATTTTTTATAAATACTTTTAATACCAGGAGAAGTCAAAATCTATATCGCGCAAAGTTTATTCAGATAAAAAAACCCGTAATCCGCGAATTTAATATTTTATTAAAATTTCTATTATTTTTTCTTTATAAGATATCTGGATAAAAATATGAAATCACATTGGTTATCTAAAATCTAAAGTTATTTGGATGTATTGCTTTTATATTCGATATGAAGAAAAATCTCAATTGATTTCGCGCGCATGTCATATGTCTCTAGTTCACATCTCGTCTATCATATTACCTGTTGTCTGTCGAATAATTTAAGTAGAGAGCGTGCTCTTTCTCTCTCTCTCGTCCTCTCTCGACACATGTTAGCCTTTAGACAAATAAATATCGTCATTCCAGTCTGCTGGACACGCACGTCGAAACGGCGCACGCCAATCTCTGCGTGCAAATATAAACGGCGAAATGGGTTGTAAATATAAGCAAATTGTGCAGAGCGGCTAGTGCAGGGCCAGTTATCTATTGTTATCGGCGGACATATTGACTATTGTACGCGATCAAACATACCTATCCTATCCTACCCTGTCTTTCTCTTTCTTTCTTCCTCTCTCTCTCTCTCTCTCTCTTTCTCTCTCTTTCCTTGCGACCTTGTATAAATGTCACGCACCTGTATTTAATACATTTGTACATAGCGATTGGTTTTCAATAAATATTCAACGCTTTGATTTTTGTTGGACTTATGGACTCTTGCGACCATCATCCAGCATATCTTATTGATGCTCGAAGCACGACCGTAAAAGCTAAGGTAAGTGCATCATTAGTCATAATACGTTTTCGCTTTCGAGCGTTAAGTTAGCTTCACGGATATGCATGAGAAAATGTGATCCACGTAATCTTCCGTAACGTGCACACGTATCATAAATTTATTCGCGTCCGTAACAAGTAGCGTTATTTTAATATAATGTAATTCCGCGTTTTTTAGTTTATCTTTCAAAATTATATTCACTCTGGAAAAATTCTATGGTAGAAATGTAATATAAATTAGGTATATGTAAGGTATTTACCGGCGCACATGCGCGAATGATATTCCCAGCGATTCTTCCAAAATACGTCGCTACGATGTAAATTATATCTGCAGACGCAACCTTTCCATTATCTCGAGGTATTCGTTCTTATTTTCTCTTATTTCTCTTCTCTTCCCACGCCCCTTTAATTTAAACCGGTTGCATGCTCGAGTTTCTCGATTCGTCGAGGCGGTTTCTTTTTTTTCCGTGAAAACATCCTTTAATTAAGTCGCACAAATTCATTACC